GAAACTTGATAAAGCCATACATAACCTTCTAACTCCCCATCTGGAGGACTACCCCTACAACGTAAATAAACCGACCAACCTCATCTGCATCCTGCAAGATCTACCCTCCCCGCCACGATTTATGACAGTCCTGGACTTCAAATCTACGTATCCTTTGGTTGAGTTCCCTCCAGCCTTCTGCTCTCTTAGAGATTTTTTATTTAATACAGTTCAAGACCATATGTTATACCAACAGGTGCTTGAGATGGCCCATCTAATGTGTTATGACTCTGTTTTTAAGTTTGATGGCACTATTTACTGGCAGAAGAAGGGTGTGCCAATGGGTAGCCCGCTGTCAGGCAACCTCTGTGAAATGGTCATCAGACAGCTTGAGAGTAAGGCCCTCCCGCCTTTCCTTCCTAACATCCTGATATATAAAAGATATGTAGACGACATTCTTATCATATGGAGGGAGGTCCCTGACATGACATCCTTTGTCAAAACCATCAATGACAACCCTTTTTGTCTGACAGTTGAACTGGAGCAGGCTAGTACAGAGGAGGTCCATTTTCTCAACATTGGAATAAAAATAGTAGGATCCAACATCCACACAGCCGTATACCACAAACCCTCAGCCACCACCATGTACTGTACATACCAGCTGATTCTTGTGACCCTTTCCCGTACAAGGCAGCCGCCTTTAGAGCTTTAATAGAAAGGGTGTTCTCACACTCATCCACCAAGCAGACACTGAAACACTGAAAATCAAATTAGCCCGCATCAGAAGGATAGCAACCGAGCATGGATTTCTGAACATGACACGCCGTTTAGTAGAATGATACCAACGCCTGAAACACGTCCCGACCACAAGTAATGTTGCTGACCCGTAGCAAGACGGCTCGACACGAGTCCCCATCACATTCAACCAATACTTTAAGACAGTACATAAGAAGATAGCCAGAGAGCTTGGGATACGGTTAGCATACAGAAGATGTCCCATGATTTTCTGTATCCTACAGAATGATAAAGATCCTCCAAATTGCACCAGACTCCTCGGAATCTATTCTATCCCAATCAGGGACAACAGATAGAACAAAGACTTATTATACATCAGCTCGACCAAACATTCCTTGAACACCCGCCTATGTGAACACCAGGCAAATATCCAACACGGGAGACACACCACAGTCCTGGCCATGTATGCATCAGATCACGAAGTCGAAGCCCAATTCGAAAAAGCTACTGTTATCATCAACACACCCCACCAAGAGCATCTAAGGTGACTAGAGGCCACAGCTATCTACAACGCTGGCCGCTAACCATGTATGTTAACTGGAAAGAAGAGCTGACTCTGTCTTTGGCCTGGCAATCACTGTTGGATGCCAACCTGCCACTTCCTCCCCCACCACACGACCGCACATGTCAGAAAGGACCCGCTCCATCGGAGTTAACACCCGATCCCAACAAACAGAATACACTCCGTCCAGTTGACATGAAGAAGAGCAAAGGGATTGCTCGAAAACGTTTGTCAACAGCAATATACAGTATATACACGTCGCACACCGGTTACAGGTTCTGGATAGTGTAGTGTAAAATAAAAGTACTAAAATTCATGTAAAAATTCTTGCAATGTACACCAAATACAAATCAAAAGATTTAGAATTTAGTTTTTTGATGTAAACACATAAATTAAACACAATTTATATCAAATTTGTGAAGTTCAAATGCTTTTGACATGTTAGTCATACCATACTTAATTTATGTATTCATGTATAGAAGCAGAATTTTAAATGTGTTGAGAAACACTTAAATAATTACTAAATAATATATCGAAAATTTCTAGAAACCACATTAATTAAAATATCTGAAACTTATGCTGTAATATGTCTTTTGTATATGTTTGATATTTAACCAGAGTTTTCATATTCTATTGTTTAAAAAAATATATTTTAATATTTCTTATTTGAATTTTGGAAAGAATATTTAATCAACAGAATATAAAGTAATTTTTAATTAACACTTTAAATGGTTTTGATTTTATGTTAGATTAAACATCTATTCAAATAATTGTATTTGATTATACTTGTAATCATTTTATTATTATATATTTTTAGCATTTCAATAAAATAATCACAAATTTTATTTCTATGTAATTATGAACTAAATATATTATACAAGATAAAAATGAATAGCAATTTGAAAAAAGTTTAAACCAGTTTATTTGTTAGTGCTAGTAAGTTTACATTAGAATATGCATTAGAATATTAAGGAATCACAGGCTAAATAACATACAGTAATACCCCGACTTATGCTACCCTGACATACGCGAACCCGGAGTTACGCGATTTTCAAATCTCGTCGATTCGTCTTTTGTTTGAGCACCACACAATCCTTGATTACTCACTCCCCCCACACTATTGTTCAGCTTACATGTTCGGATGTGTCGCGCGGAATCCACACATAGCTACAATTTATTTTGTGTTATTTATTTCTGTGTTCTTTATATCTACGGAGATTTGAGAAACTCTACTATGTCATCCAAACAAAGTAGAACTAATTCTTCTGCATCAAACAAGAAAAGAAAAACTTTATCTTTGGAATGTAAAGTTAACATTGAGTATGTTCGTAAAGTCGAACAAATTAAACAAGAATGGCGTCATCGTTATTCCTATTTCGTTAGACTTTTCGAACGATTTGTTACTAATACGTTTAACTCGTTATTATTAAAGACTTCGATACAAAAATGAAAATTTGTGAACTGGCAAAGAAGTTTGATCTACCGAAATTGTCGATCAGAACAATTATAAAAGGCAAAAAAAAAGTTCTCAAAGCTGTGAAAAATGCTCAATCTTTAAATTCAAGCATCATTCGTAAATGTCACAGTATTATCCCTGAGATGGAAACAATGTTAAAATTATGGCGTAATAATCAAGTAAATGTGAAAAATTGGCCTAATTTGTTATACACATGTATTATCTAAGATTTTATTAAACATTTTTTTCTAAATTATTGTTTTCTTTAGTCTCTGGCCCCAATTAAAAATTATTTGTATGTATTTATATGAGAAATTATACCCCGACTTACGCAGTTACCGCTCGGTCCCACCTATCGCGTAAGTTTGGGGTATTACTGTATTTCAAGACTAATTAAAATCTAAAATAACACAAAAACTATGCTTTATTGAAATAAATATTCTAAGCCAGTGATTGTCAACTTTTTTTTAGTCATGGTACACTTTTAATAATTTAAAAATTTGGCAGAACACACGGTTACTTTGGTAAGTACTGCAGGATAACCAGTAATGTCATAACAGTGACTTTTAAACTCAGTTGATTATTTACGTAACATTTTCTAAACGTCTTAGTAACTACCAGCAGTTACTAGTAACACCAGTTACAATTTCCAAATGTGCCATAGGAAGGTAGACCTGATTAAACTACTTGTCTAATGTCGTTTATGTATGCAGTGGCGGCACACTTCAAAAATCTATATGAGTTCAGTGGTTGAGAATCACTGTTCTAAGCACTTAAAAAGAATAAAAAATTAATAAAAGAATGTGTAATAATTTAACATTTACTCAAAAAAATTTGTAACTTTGTAAAGCTAGCAATTCTTGATGCTTGAAAGAATAATTTTTTTAAGTGTTTAAAATATTTAATCCAATAAAACATAGTTCACTTGTGATTAAATTAATTACAGTATAGAATTGATTATCTGAAAAAATTCGGGACTGTGGTTGTTTGGATAACTAATCATTTATGAAAAAATATATTAAACACAAAATTGTACTGTGTATAATATGTATCCCATGTCTTACAAATACACACCTTATATAATGTAGTACATTAAACTAGGCCTACAGTTTAGGTTGGCAGGGAGGGGGAGAGTGCTGCAATGCTACAGCACTAGTGGAAATTTGAATTTGCCAGCTGGAACACTTTTGGTTAACTGATGTTTCAGTTAATCGATATTCAGATAATAGATGCTCTACTGTATTGCTCAGTTCTTAAATACAACTTTAAGCCTAATACATTAATATAGCAAGTTAGATTCCAGACCATTGCTGTAAAGCTAAACACAGGTTTTGTTTCACTTGCTAGTGCAAATAAAAGCCTAAAATTATATTTACACTATAATTTATTACAGTAAGTGCACAATAGTGCTACACCTAAAAACACTGCAAAATAAAAATTAGAATATAAAAATTTGAGTTCTAAATCATAAATTTAAAATTAAAAACCATCTAAAATCATAAATCAAATTTTACTGTTTTTAATTAATTATGGCTTGAAGTAGCATATCATCCTAAAGCAGATATTTGATTTTACTATACTTTTAATTGTAATATCAATTGTTCCTTATACTACATTTAAGTTATAATGTATTCCAAACATTACACTTTCAGTAACTCAAATTATTATTTACTCATTCATTTTATCCTTCAGTTTTCTACTGTATAAAAATAATAATAATAATTCTTTGGAACTAATATAATTTTTCTTTATTTCCAACTTTACTATTTGGTTTAATTATGAACCCTATAATGTCAACAATGCTCATTTGTTTCTTAATCAAAATTTCCATGAAGCAAAAGAGATGAAACAAATCTATACCTAAAAAAGTTTGCTAAATAAGAATCATCAAGTGAACAGAATTAAAAATCAATTATTTAATTCCTTTTTTTTTTAATGTTTTATTCTTGAATAATAATGCAAAAATTTTCTACTCAAGAATGCCCAAAGTAAACGTTCAACTTTAAAGATAAAAGTTTTGGTAATTCTAATCTTAAAGTTATCAAATATTAATTATTTTAAATTTAAAAATTTTCATAAATATATTCATAATTACTAAATATGACATAAAAAAGGATGAATCAGCAAGCTCAAATTACTCAGGTTTTGTTATTTTTACTAATATAAATAAGTGCTCTAACAAAACAAATTTGAAGATTGTAATGCTTCGAGAAACATTCTGATTTTGATATTAATATAAATTATTTTGATATAATAAAATCCACTTACCCAAGAGAGCTTGAAAAAGTCTGCTTTTAAAAATTCTTATTACACGTTCAATTGCATTTCGAAGCTGTTTATCTTGCGGCTTAGTCAATTTACTATGATATTCCTCCAACAACTCTAAGGCTCGATGAGCCTCTATACAATGTAAGATAAATTTATTAGATATTAAAAATACTCATATATTAATTATTATAATATAAAAAATAATGAGTAATTCAATCAAGAGAAAAATCAATAACATTAAGAGAATTCTACTTCTAAAGATTAAACATAATTTTTTTTTAATTTTGAAGACCATTTTATAATACTTTAATCTGGAAAATATAATAAAATATGAAAAATAAAAGTTAAATTATTATAAAATTATTAAAATACAAGCAATCCTCAATCCATAGAAATGAAAAATTTTTCTTTAATGATTTCATTTCTTTAATTTGACTCTCTTATATTGTGGCAGTATTATATTAGATATCATAAATGCATTTCTGACACAAAAAATTAACAACAAGCAAATTAATATTCTTATTTATATTTTCTATAATATATTAATATAAAGAATCAAAAATGTGCATATGTGTTCTTGAGAAAACTATAGGAAAACTTATGTTAAATTTTAATTTTATATTTGTTTTTAAAATGTTTATTTCTTTTAACAGATGTATAGAACTTAGAAATGTTTAATTTTGGCATAGAAAATTTTATTCACAATGTTTAAATCTTGTGCTTGAGTATTTTTAATAAAAAATTCCTGCACTAATTTTTTCACAGAATTTGGAGTTACATCAACAAATGGACAAAATTATCATCAGAAGCATGATAATTTCTGTACTGATTACAATGTGCTATGTCTCATTAGTTTGCCAGAATATTATACAGTGGCTGATCAGATAGCGAAAAAATCGAATAACAAACACCTTTGCGAAAGAATTTTATGATCAAACAACAAGCACTTTACTGAACAAACATAAAAAGAAGTGACAGAAAATAACAAATACCGATTGATTTTCCCTTGTCTTCAGGTAACAATTTGAAACCTTTCGGAGTGTGGGAGACATCAACATCGATGCTCAACCCAATACTGATCAGATAGTATTCCTCTGAATTTTGAAACTCTTCTCTTGTAATTCCAGCTTTTTGTTTACTTTTCTGACAAATAATTTTTTAGAATCTTCACGAGACTGTAAGACGAGCACTTGTTAACTCAGGGTTTATTTAGAAAATGTAAAAGTTTAACTGTCCCATAAAATATTTGTTAACGTTTTAATACCAAATTTCAAATTTCATCCGGGCCTTGCATTTAAATAATTTTTTGTGAGCTAGTTGATTTCTGAATTTTTGTAAGTGCTTTTCTGAACTTTTTATTTAAAAAAGAAACTGATAATATTATGGAACCTAAAAAGAGGAGTGTCAAGAACTGTGCTCACTGTAGAAACCAAGTAAGAGATAATAGCCAAGATAGAAAGTGGGCACAAGATGTCTGATGTTGCTAGGCAGTATGGCTTGAACAGGTCTACAGTAGGCATAATCTTAGCTATGAAACATATATCAAGAAGTCTCAAGCTGCTAAAGGAGTAATGAAAATCACATCTGAGAAATAAAGAGCATTTTAGAGCTCATAATGGAACCTGAAACTGATCTGACGACAGAAGAACTCCAAGAATGGTCAAATGAAGAATATCAAGAAACTCAGCGAGATGCGTTTTCTTTTGAAAAAGAGAAAGACAAAAGAGACCAATGTCATATGCTACTAAAGATCTTTTGAAGAAGTGGGATGTCAGAACAACATTCATTCAATTGGCATCCAAACCAGAATAAAATTAATCGGGTTGGGAATCTCTAGAATTACAATACTACTAATTACTTCCGAAAAATCCTGAAGAAAAGAGAAAAGCGATTGATATTGGATAGATTCATTAACCCCCCACAAATGGAAAAAACATGACTAATAAAAATGCAAGACTACATATATATGTATTTTTACTATTACATATAAATGAAACGTAGTAAAAAAGTATATATTTTTATTTTTTGGAGTCTGGAACAAATTCATCAAATTCCCATAAAAACATATGGTAAATCGATAATCAGTTAACGAACAATTCAGATAACAAACAAAGTCTTGGAACAGTTCATGTTTATTAACCAATCACCCACTGTACAGTATAATAATTTTCAAATAATTTTTTACATGAATTTATTAAAACATATTTTGGAGTTTTAAAAATGATCTTACCAACAAGGTATAAATTTAAATAGAAGCTTTTTGTTATAGTGAGTAAAACAAATATGAAACTACAGAAATTATATTAAAGCTTTCAACTAAAATTTTATTATAACAAAGTTATATGACACAAGGAAATTAAGAAAGAATATTCTCTATTATGATAAATGTTTTAGCCAGTCATCCATAATATGTAACAACTTTGCCACTATTAAAAATTTCATCATGCAAAATTATAATCTCTAAACTCATATATAACAAAAAAATAATTTTTGAAATATGTTAGAACATAAAATATCAGTAAATGACAATAAAGCAGCAAAATATATTCTCAAAATAAATTTCTTTTTACAATGAAATAAAAAAATATATATATATAGCAGGATAAAAGTTCACTGAGTATGACGTTATTCATCATCATCAACCGTTATCAATCCACTGCAGGATGAAGGTCTCCCCAAGCCTCTTCCACAATCTTTTGTTTTGAGCACTTCGCTTCCATTTTGTGCCAAGATGCCTCTTGATCTCATCAACCCACCGATTGTGAGGACGTCTTCTTGGTCGTTTCCGATCTCTTGGTATCCAATCAAGAACTTCAGATGTCCAGCGATGGTCAGTTCTTCTTGCAATATGTCCAGCCCACTGCCACTTGAGGGATTTTACTCTAGCGATGATATCGGTAACTCCTGTCATTTTCCTGATCCATGTTATACGTTTCTGATCTTTCCTTGTTATGCCAAGCATACACCTTTCCATGTTCCTTTGGGTAGTCTGTAGTCAATGGATCTCTGATTTTCTAACAGTCCAAGTTTCTGATCCATAAGTGAGAACTGGCAACACACTGATCAAAAACCTTGCGTTTCAGGCACAGGGACATCTGTTGATTTTTCAAGACTATACAATTCCTAGCAAAAGCACTCCAGCCAAGTTTTACACATCTGTTTATTTCCTCCTTGATGTTGCCATCCATTGATATTCTTTGTCCCAGGTAAATGTAAGCATCTACCTTTTCCAATTCCATGTTATCTATTAGTAGTGTTTCTTCACATACAAAACTTTTGTACATAATTTTCGTCTTGTTCAAGTTCATCTTTAAACCAACTTCTTTACTTTTGTTTGCAAGTTCTTGAATCATGTCCTGGAGCTCTGAAGAACTGGCTATCTGTAATGATGGTTACATCGTCAGCAAATCGAAGATGGATCAGGTGGTCTCCATTTATCAGTACACCTTTATTATCCCAGTTCGTTGATTGAAAAACACTTTCTAATACATTTGTAAAAAGTTTTGGGGAGATAGTATCACCTTGTCTCACTCCCTTTTCAACTTTAACATCGTTGGTATCTTGAAGCAAGCGAACTTTTGCAGTTGCCCCTTCATAAATGTTCTCAAGAATTTTGATATATGTAGTTTCGATACCATATGCCTTTAGAGATTTGGTGATTGCTGATGTAGTTATAGAATCAAAAGCCTTTTCATAGTCAGCAAATGAAATGCATAGTGGGATTTCGTATTCGTTTGACCTTTCAATGAGCTCTCTCACAACCTGAATGTGATCAAGTGTGCTGTATCCACTCCTAAATCCAGCTTGTTCTCTTGGTTGGG